TTGCTCAGGTGGGTAAATACTATGAATGTCTGACATTTAAGATGCATTAAAAACGTTTTGCAAACATAACAACCATCATCGATGGTTAGCTTGTAAAACAGTTGCTCGAGTAAATGTTTTAGCGAAACAAGTAATATGTATTTAAAGTGTGTAAAACAAACACATTCTGCAGTACGGTCTCGAAACAGGCATTTTCAAGTTCTCGAAACAGGTCAGTAAGGAAGGACACCTCGAACTGGGATTTTTCTCTCCTCGATTGTACCATGCTTATTTATCATTTACGTTTGATTTTCCTAGGTCACAAATCAGCAATCTTCAGAAACAGATGAATGATCACACAGACTCGGTTCAGACAGCCACTACATCTTGGAGGTAAAGAAATCTTCTTATAGCTATCTATCGCTATTGTCATCTGTATCGCTTCGACTATAGGTAAGCAAGAAGCTTTACGATCTTTTCCAGTTCGCGGAAAGAAACATCAGGCAAATGTATGAAAAATTAAAAATGCGACTGGACGCTTTCTAGCACAGCTATATCCCTCAAACTTGATTAATGCAATCCTTTATCTAGTTTTTTAACATTGCTATTCATAAATTGTTCAGAATTCAACTTTTAAGACAATTATTCACCAACGGATTCCCAAGCAAACACTAATTTCTAACGTGTGTTGTCTGCCCGTCAAAATGGCTTCCAAAACCGTGATAAGGTCTATCGATAAATCTCGGATTTTCGAACTTCTTACAAATCAAGGAGCAGAAAAACAATGCCATAACGTTGCTAATATCAGTCTTTCACCTCTCAGCCTATCTTGCTTTAGAACTGAACGTTAGTTTTTTTTTTTTTAATTGGCAACAGTGCTGTGTCGGCCTAACTTCTACCCTTAGAGTACTTTTGTATGACCACGAGAACCTTATTTCATCTCAAGTACTGTCAGCGAGATACAGAGGTTTTTTGACTCTGTCAGCAACATAACTGTCGTCTAGTCGTCGAGTTGCCTGAGGATAGTTTAGTCATTCTGTGTTTGTAGAAGTACGAGCTTACCTGTGTTTCGAGATCTTGTTTTCTTGTCTTCACACGTTACGTCGCGAGATCGAGAGAGCGTG